CAGAAAACAAAAGGATCAACTTTTCCCTTCTTTGAGCCTTCAGGCTGTCAGGCGGCAACAGCCTGCTGACACTGGTCCTCGGCCCCGGGCTTGTAATATCCCAATAATCTTCTGTGAAACTTTACAACTCTTCCCTCTTCCCTGGTGAGGAGTCAGACTTCCCACCTGCTTGTTTTTTAACCATTGGCCTCTCAGTTTATTAGGACCAGAGACATCTCATCAATTCCAGGAATGGCGCGCGCCCAGAACCTCTGCTGTCCTGGTGGTTTCCCTGAGCTGTGTGGATGTTAATTCACAGACAGGTTTCATCAAGAGAGCTTCAAATTACTCATCATAATTAGTCACTGATATAACGCCCACACGTCAATCACTCCCAGACCCCGCCCCATCACGTCAGGCACTCACAGACCCCGCCCCCACCCGTCAGACACTCAGAGACCACGCCCCTACACGTCACTCACTCACAAACCCCATCCCCACACGTCAGTCACTCACAGACCCCGCCCCCACCGGTCACTCACAACAGACCTCATCCTCTCCCATCAGTCACTGAAGACCCCGCCCCCACTCGTCAGTCACTCACAGATACCCCCATCCATCAGTCACTCACAGACCCGCCCCCACGCTTCAGTCACTCACAGAAGTGTGAGGCTCAGTACGCCCCACTTCCGGTTGGCTTCAGCTTGCCAGAACTACCGGCTTCCGGTTTCGACCCGGGGCAACATGCGCTGTTTCGTGATTGGAGTTTCGCAGGAGAGTCTCAGCAGCCCGACTTCCGGTTGGCTTCAGCTCGCCAGCACAACAGACTTCCGGTCCGGCAGACCGATTCCGTATCGGGGATCGCGGGGAAATAGAGTCGGGAATTTCGCTTTCAAGTTCCAGTGCTCCCTCCTTCCGCTTGGCTTCAGGTTGCCAGCATTACCGAGTTCCAGTCCCATTCTGGCTTCCCCTGCAGAGACGGGAATGGGGCTTCTGAGACTCACGATTCCCGACTTCCGGTTGGCTTCGGCTTGCCAGCACTAACGACTTCCGGAGTCCTGCTAATGGATGGGAACGGCGCGGCTGGCTTCCAGCGACCAGAATTTCGCTGGAATCTCAGGACACCCGACTTCCGCTTGGCTTCAGGTCGTGCTTGGCTTCAGGTCGCCAGGGCAACCCGGTTCCCGTCAAGTCTGGCTCGGTGCAAAAGCAGCTCCCGGT